GCTGTGCTGAGGATCCCCTCTGAGCAGGGACGGCACAAAGCCTTTTCCACCTGTCTCCCTCACCTGGTTGTGGTCTCCCTGTTTATCAGCACTGGTATATTTTCCTATCTAAAGCCCCCCTCCATGTCCTCTCCATCCCTGGATCTGTCCCTGTCAGTTCTGTACTCGGTAGTGACTCCAGCCCTGAACCCCCTCATCTACAGCCTGAGGAACCAGGAGCTCAAGGCTGCCGTGTGGAGACTGATGGCTGGATGCATTCAGAAAGACTAAATTAGATGACAGTTTTTGCAAATCACTTGTAATAAAAGTCATCTTAGATAGCTCTTGTTGGTTTTCTTGCTGGTGGTTTTTTTTCCCTTGATTGTAGTTTTTCCATATTTTCCAAAAGAAAAGCCACAGTTCATTCCATTTCACATTTTGTGTATCTCAAGAGTTCCTGTGGCCACAGACTGTGTCAAGGAGGGGCTGCAGTCTTGGTGGCTTTAAGGAACTAAAGGATCTCCCAGCCAAGTTTTCTGCAGAGATGCCCTTTTGTTGCCTTATCTGGAGGTGCAGCAGCAATGTCTGTGTGCAGAGCTGGGGGCAGATCAGTGCTGGCCCAGCAGCTGTGCCCAGCAGCAGCAGCCGCACTTGGTGTTGCCAGTGCTGCTGCCGTGGCCCTGCCCCGCTGCCCTGGTGGCCCTGGTGTTGCTGTAGGGCCTGAGTGCTCTTGGGGCCGGGCACAGCCCTGGGGGTGGCAGTGCCGGGGCTGCAGCAGGGACAGGCCATGGGCACTGCTGGGGCAGCGCTGACGCCTCAGGCCAGGGCCTGGGGGCTCCAGGCTCCTTGCCCAGGCTCTTTCAAGAACACGCCCAGGCCAATGCTCTGCACAGAAACCCCCGTGAGCAGCCTCAGGCTGGCCGTGGGCAGGCTGGGGGCAAACAGCATGGCTGGGGCTCTGCAAGGGCCCTGGGGCAGACGGGAAGGAGCAGCAGAGCAGGGGCTGATCCATTCCCAGTGCGCTGCACAGCTCAGGGCAGCGTCCCAGAGCATGCTCATGGAGCTGCCAATGACATCCCCCCTCTGCAGCCCTGGCCTCTCCCCCAGTTCACACAGGTGCCCCATCCTTGCAGGCACAGACACGGCAGCACTGGCTCAGCAGCCCCTGTTTGCATTGCACACAGCAGGCGGGAGCACCCCCATGCTGTTGGTGTGGGGACATGAACCTGAGGGAGCACAAATGCCATCAGCCCCATGGGCCAGCAAGGGCTAGGGGACACCGGGGAAACCACTCAGTTTTTTCTTGGCTTCTGCAGTCAGGCAGAGAGTTTGTTCCCATCCGCTGAGAGTTCCCTGTCCCAGTGCAGACGCTGTTGCTCAGAGCCAGGGCTGCCTAGCAGCCACCCCCAAAATGCCTTCAGCATTTCCTTGACTTCACCTTTGCTTTTTTCACTCTTCCTGCTGCAAGTTTCTTCCTATTGCCCAGCCCTGTCCCCTCCCCTACAAACAGCCCATCCCTGTTTCCCCTTTCCTCTCTGGCCCCACTCCCCATTGCAGTTCCTGACTTGGCACCATGGGAACGTCCCTTGGGCAGCAGGATCATCCTACAAGTGCTGCAGGAATTGTCTGCAGGCTCCTGCAGTGCCTGGTGCTGCTCCTTTGCCAGAGGCACCCCAGGCCAGGGGGGCACATCTGGGCTGCTGTGTCTGGCTCTGGGGCTCCCTGTTCTGGGCAGTGAGGAGGAGCTGCAGAGGCTCTGCAGGACTGACAGGATGGGCTTTGGGGCTGGCAGGAGAAGCTGAGGGACCTGGGCTGCTGCAGCTTCTCAAGAGGGGGCCCAGGGCTCATCCTGCAACTGCTCCAAGGGTGGTTCCAGAGAATCCCAGAATCAGCAAGGCTGGAACAGGCCATGGAGAACATGAAAACCACCATGTGCCCTGACACCGCCTTGTCTCCCCTGAGCCTCGTCTTCTCCAGGATAAACAACCTCAGCTTCCTCAGCAACTCCTTACAGCACTTGTGCTCCTGACCCCTCCCCAGCCTTGTTGTCCTTCTCTGGACACGCTCCAGCCCCTCCATGTCCTTCCTAAATTGGCGGCACCAGAACTGCAAACAGCACTTGAGGTGCTGCCCAAGCATTGCTGAGCACAGGGGAAGAATCCCTGCCCTGCTCCTGCTGGCCACACCATTCCTGAGCCAGGCCAGGAGCCATTGGCCTTCTTGCCCACCTGGGCACACTGCTGCCTCATGTCCAGCCTGCTGTCCATCAGTCCCTGCAGGTCCCTTTCTGCCTGGCTGCTCTCCAGCCACTCTGGCACCTTGTGGAGGGGAAGGGAAGGGAAGGGAAGGGAAGGGAAGGGAAGGGAAGGGAAGGGAAGGGTCCAGATCCAATCCTTCCTGAAATGTGGGGTTTGCTGGCACTGCCAGTGCCTTGACCTGAAAATTTCCCTATTCTGGCACAGCTCAAGTGCAGCAATTTGCTGGCACAGAAATCCAAAACCCGGCAACTTTCTGCTACTGGGTCTGGCACCTCCCATGTCTTGTGTTTGCTGCCCCAGTACCCAGATTTGGAAATTTCCTGGTGCCCGCACAGCCCAAGTCCAGTGATTTGCTGGCACAGAAATCTAAAATTTGGAAATTTCAAGGTTCTGACTCCAGCACCATCCAGATCTAGTGTTTGCCTAGACTGCCAGTGCACAGATTTGGAAATTTCCCGATGCCTTCACAGCCCAGGTCTAGCAATTTGGTTTTAGCTAGCTTAGGAAGAAAAGTTCCTCGGACTGTGACTTTCCTTTTTCTTGGAACTGTTTAAACCTGCTCTGGACTGAAAACCCAGACAAACACCTGCAGCTCACACCTGTGGCCCCCCGAGCTCTGGGACGCTGCATTCCAGCACCAGAGGGACTTAGAAGAGACCGAGTGAGCCAACTACAACCCACAACAAGGACTTTCTGAATTTTCCATCTCTTCAGCACTGTCCAAGGTTTTATTTAATATTATTCATTTTTCATGCTTGTGAATACTTTACTTGTTTGATAAACTGAGGTTTTTTTCACTTTTCTCCAGGGAAGTCTTTTCCTGAACTAGTAGGGGTAGGGGCTGCTTGAACTTTCTTTCTAGATGGATTCCTTTTGGAGATTTCCTCCCAAAATTTGCCCTAAGCCAGCACAAACAGTCACAATGAAAACTTCACCAGTGGCATAATTTCCTGGTGGCAAATCTTGTGACAGAAGCTTGACCTTGTTCTCCATGAGAAATTCTTGGGAAGAGCAGACAGGAGAAGATTCCTGTAAAACTGAAACAGCTTTCCAAAAGTGAAATGAAAATGGAAGAAACAATCCAAGATGTTTTCCTCTATTTATTTCTATGCTCCCCTTTTCCATGCTGCATCCCAGTAATTCCAGATGTACCTCACCTCTAAGATCAGTGACTTAGGGATTTTTAGGCGTTCTAAAATACCATGAGCCACACACAGTTTTCCTTCTCCTGTTTTTACTGGAAAGCAACACTGGACATGTAAGTGCAGTGCTGGGCTCAGGTAGGAATCCTACCCCAAGGGAAGGTGGCCCGACAGTGTTTGACCCTCAGCAAGGACAATGCACAGCAGCAAGCGAGGGGATCGCTGTGCCAGTGCGCAGGAGTCAGGGCTCTGCATCTGGGCTCAGCGCTGGAAGGTTCCCGTGTTTAGGCAGACGGAGGGGCTGTCCCCGGGGCGCGCGGGGCTCGAACGTGGGGCTCGTGGGGAACGGACACGGGGACGAACGGCCCCGGTGCCTCAGTTGCAGCGGCGGCAGCGGCGGCAGCAGCGGCAGCAGCAGCAACAGCGTCGGCAGAAAAAAGACCACAGACCCTAAACACTGCTTCTCATTCTCATTCTCATTCTCATTCTCATTCTCATTCTCATTCTCATTCTCATTCTCATTCTCATTCTCACTCTCATTCTCATTCTTCTCTCTCTCTCCCGCTGTCGGGCGCCCTTCTCTCAGGGTCCCTTGCCCGGCGTCCCTCGCCCGGCGTCCCTCTCCTCTCCCCGCCTCCCTCTCCCCTGCCGGGCTGGGCCATGCCCCCGGCCCGCCCCCGGCCCCGGGCGGGGCTGCCCCGTGCCCGGCCCCGGCCGTCCCGCCGCGATCTCGCCTCCGCCTGGCTCTGGCCGTACTGGCGGTGGCGCTGCTGGGCGGGCATCAGTGCCTGGTGCGGGGGCGGCATCGCCGCCCTTCGGCTCCGCCTGGCCCGAGCCCGGCTCCGGACCCGAGGCAGGGTCCAGTCCCGACCCCGGCCCCGGCCCCGGCCCCGGCTCCTCCCGGGACCCGCGGAGGACACAGGCGGCACGGCCGCTCCCGCCGCTTCCGCTGCGGCTTCCCCGGCCCGAGCTCCGCCTCTCGGCAGCGCGGCCGCCAGCCCCGAGCCTCCCGTGCCGCGTTCCCGGGAGCGAACGCCTGGGCATGGCCGGCCCGGGGCGCTTGAGAGGCGCTCGGGGGCCGTTGCTGGCCCCGGGCCGAGCGCTGACCGCCGCGTCCCGCCCGCAGGGCAGACTCAGCAGGGCCTGCAGGAGCAGTACAGGCTGGGTTCGCTGCTGGGGCGCGGCGGCTTCGGCAGCGTCTTCGCGGCCACGCGGCTCTCGGACGGCGCCCCGGTGAGCGGCGGACGAGGGGAGGGGGCGGAGGAGGAGGAGGAGGAGGGCAGAGAATGGGGCTGGGCAGGGAAGGCGGTGAGCTGAGCCCTCTGCTCCCCTTGACTTGCAGGTGGCCATCAAAAGGGTGCCACGGAACCGCGTCCTGCACTGGGGCAAGCTGGTGAGTGAGCGGGGCCAGCGGCAGCAGCCGGACCGTGCCGGGCGGGAATGAGCCGAGGCCCGGCACGGTGGGAGCCGCCAGGGCGCCCCGAGGGAGAGCGGGCGTGGGGCCAGCGCAGGGCGTAGAGCATCCCGGGCTGGCTGAGGGCTTCACGAGCCCCGGCACGGCATCGGCTCCACTGACGGCATTGTGCTCCTCCCGCAGCCTGACGGCACCAGCGCACCCCTGGAGATTGTGCTGCTGGCCAAGGTGTCCACTGGCTTCCCCGGTGTGGTCCAGCTGCTGGAGTGGCTTGAGCTCCCCAATGACATCTTGATGGTGCTGGAGCGGCCAGAGCGGTGTCAGGACCTGCATCGTTTCATTCGGGCACGGCGGTTCCTGCCCGAGGAGGAGGCGCGGGAGCTGTTCCGCCAGGTGCTGGAGGCCGTGCGGCACTGCACCAGCTGCGGGGTCCTGCACCGTGACATCAAACCAGGGAACATCCTGGTTGATCTGGCCACCGGGCAGGCCAAATTGATTGACTTTGGCTGTGGCACCTACCTGCAGGACACAGCCTACACGCACTTTGCAGGTGAGCCCACGCAGGGCTCCTGGGCCCAGCATCTCATGACCCAACATCTCCCAGCCCAAGCTGACTGTGGCAGCAGGGATTCTCTCTTTTGCGGCCCTTCATGTCACTGAGTCTTCAGCGAGTTTCTTTTGAAACTCAGGGCTGAGTGGGTAGCCATCTTCCAGCCCTGCTGGCAGCCTTTGCCCCCCACTCTGCCCAGAACTGGTGCTGGGGCAGCCAGCCCAACAAAAACACCCGTGGGTGGGGGTAGCAGAGAGGGAGAACCAGAACCTGTGCCCAGCCGGTTTGGTGTGCAGGTGAGAAAGGGCTCGGACTGCTCCACTCACCTGGTCTGTTGGGGTTCATAATGGTTTTTGGGGCAATGCAAGGCGGGAGGATGAGAGCATGGTTTTTTCCAGCACTGGGTGGGTTCTTCCTTGTTATGGTCAGGCCTTGCCAGGGCTTCCACTGCCCTCTTGAAATACCAGTGGCTTCTTTTCCAACCCCAAGTCTGTACACAACTCCCAGGTGCTGGTGAGAGGGCAATGCTCACCCTGTGTGCCACTGGGGCAGCCCCCACATGCCTAGGGATGCTGGGGCCAGGCTCTGGGAACAGCCTCATCCCCCTGATGAACTCCATCTGTATTCCATAGGAACACGGTCATACAGCCCCCCGGAACGGACCCACTTTGGCTGGTACTATGGCAAGCCAGCTACCATCTGGTCCCTGGGCATCCTGCTGCACCAGATGGTCTGTGGGGAGCACCCTTTCAGGAGGGGCCAGAACCTCAGCTGGGACCATCAGCTCTCGCTGCCAGAACGGCTCTCTCAAGGTGGATCCTCATCTCTGGGCACGGGGGGAATCCCAGTGCTGGGAGACAGCAGCAGGCTCGTGGGCATCCTGCACTGGCAGCTGCTGAGGAGGTGGCAAATGTCCTGCTCTTCTTCAAAACAGGGAATGGATGGGAAAGTTTAGGCCCAGCTTTGAGCACATCCAGCATGGCCTGTGCATGGGAATGGTGGGGCAAAGCCAATAGGAGCCTTCTCCAACTAAGTGGTGGTTTCTGGTTTCTCTGCCCAGAGTGCCAAGATCTGATCAGGCGGTGTTTATCCATGCTGGACTTGGAAAGGCCCTCATTAGAAGAGCTGTTCTGTCATCCTTGGATGCAGGATATTCATCTGCCCTAGAAGAAGGGAGAGAGCCACAGGCATACTTTGATCCAGGGCCCTGGTAAATTCCAGCTCCACACATGCCTTGGCAATGAGAAGCAAAGGAACCCAGCCCTTTTTGTGCTGCCAGTGTCACTGCACCGGGGTCATGGGATGGGAACACGCAGCCCTTGGGCTGGAGCTGAGCTGCTCTGCCCAGCACTGGTGGCCACCATCCAAGCTGGTTTTGCTTGTCCTGGTTCCCTGACAGCTGGGGCCCTGGGCAGAGCCCTGAGAGCCTGGTCTCCCCCCAGGGAAGGAGAAGAAGCCCCTGGAGAAGCTGTACCGGGTGGGGCTGCTGCTGCTGGAGAGAGTGAGGAGGACACCAAGGATGACAAGCTCTTCCTCAGCCTGGCCAGCTGAAGATGATGGACTTTGATTCTGGCACCTTCTTCAAAGCCAGGCTCCACAGTGAATTTGCAGATGAGTCCACATGCAGGGGGATGCTCTCAGATTTGGGCATTGCCCAGCCTGGCTGGGAACCAAAGGTTCCCCCTTTGCTGGGGCAGATGCAACTCATTCTTCAGTGGCTGCCCAGCTGCTTTTGGCAGGGCTGGGGCATGGGTTGGGGTGGGTATGAAATGGGAGTGGGCTCCTGGCCCTCCCAAAAGCCCCCAGCACCCACCGTGCCCCGGGCTGGGGCTGGGGCTGGGGCAGCCAGGCCAACACAAACAAACCCCTATGGTGGGAGCAGAGGTGGGACTCCAGAACCTGAGCACAGCTGCTTTGCTGTGCAGGCAAGGAAGGGCTTGGGCTGCTTCACTGCCCTTGTTTGCTTTGGGGTCACTGTGATTTCTGGTGGCAGTGCAGGGGGGAAGAGAGAAAGTGTGGGCTTCCCTCACCCATGGCTGGGTTTTTCCCTGGCATGTGGGGGTTGGGCCTTCCTCAAGGCCCTGACACAGATAAGAGGTGTTACCGTTTTTCTTGTTTTCCCTTTTTGCATCTAATATCTTTTCAAGAATGTGTTGTTTATTTTTCCAGAGGAAGCATTCAAGGTGGTCCAGTGTGGATGGGGAAGTGCTTGGGAGCAGCTGTGGTGTGGATGGGCCATGCCCTTGGAGAAGGCTGAGGCCGTGGTTTGGGAGCAGCTTTTCTTGCAGCCGTGGGTAGCATGAGGTGGGTCCCTGTGTGCTTGGCAGGGTGGGATCAGAGCTTTTGGGAGCTGGCAGCGAGCACAGGAGCATCCTGCTCTGGGCAGCTGCTGAGGGCTGGATGTGCCGTGGCTGGCTGCAGGCTGGGCACATGTGCTGCCCTCCTGCTCTGCTGCCAAAGGCAGCAGGGATGGGCAGCTCTGGGCACAGCTCTGGGCACAGCCAGCATGGCCTGGGCACCGCAGGCCTTGGCACAAGGGCAGAGGAGCCCTCAGCTGACGGGTGGTTTCTGCTTTCTCTCCTTGCAGCCGGGCTCTGCGGGTGCTGAGGCTGCTCTGGGCTCTGCCAGGGCTCTGCTGGGCTCAGCCCTGGGCCCAGCTGGGCTGGCTCTGCCCTCACATTGCTCTGACAGCTCTGCATCAGACGAGCCCCTTGCGAGCACAGCACCTGAGCTTTCTGCTTTGGCGGGTGAGTGAGACTCTGCTGCAGGCCCAGAGATTGCAGCTGGGGACACACATCCAACTGGCAAGGACCCAAACTCTCCACAGTCCCAGCTGAACGCCTGGATCTGCACAGGGTGTTTTGTCTGTCCCATTCTTCCTTCTTGATTGGCTGGAATTGTGCAATTGCACTTTCTTCCTCCTCTAGAAGTGCCACAAGTGGGCCAAAGCTGGCAAGTGGGCCGTGCTCCTGAGGCAGTGCAGTCTGGAGCTGGTGGATGGAGAATTGCCCTTCTGCACTTCCAAACCAGAGCAAAAAGCCGTAAGTGGGACTTTGTGTCTCTAAGAAATCCCTGACAGTTTCAAAGGGAATGTGCAGCTCATTCGCAGGGTGAGAAGGAAGGTCATCTTCTGAAGGATTTGGGGTTTGACAGAGTTTCCATTCCCAGTCCTGCTTGGAGCTGGAAGGGCACAAAGCAATTTCTTCTTGCTTCGAGCACAATTTAAAATACAAATTTCAAATGTTTGGAAACAAAGCCCAAAATCTTTTAAAAGGCTGCTGAGGTCAGTAAAATGGATGCATGCCATCAGCACATTTACAATGTAAATACCTGAGTTCTCTTTTTAAAAAGATCATTTACTTCTTAATGCAAAGAATTTAACTTTGCCTTTATGTTTTGTTTTTTCACTAACACCTGGATTTTATTTCTATCTTTTACAATTTACCTATTTTTTTTCCTTTTTCCTTTTTTTTCCTTTCAATAGAAAACATGTCCTATCAAAGGAATGTCCTTTGCTCCTGGTTCCCGTGTGGAGCAGCTCCCTTCCTGCTGGCTGAGCTGCACAGGCAGAGCCCGGCTTTTCCCCGTTGCTGGGCACAGACTGATGGAGCAGCACTGCTGAACACGGGCACACAGAGGGAGCAGCAGCAGCTGCCTTTGGCCACCTGAGGCTCCAAGGCCCAAACTCTGAGCAGCCAGGGCTGGAAGAGACTGGCAGGATCTGATCCCTGACTCTGGGCCAGGGCTGCACAAATGACCCCACAGCAGCAGCAGCAGCAGCAGCAGCAGATGGAGCTGACTTTGAGCACAGCCCCTGCCCCTCTTCCCTCCTGTGTGCAGCGGTTTCACAGCAGCCTGAGGCACCTGGGAGCCCCCAGTGCCAGCAGGGACTGGAGATGGCAGCCCTGGGCTCCTGGAGGCTGTGCAGGGAACGGAGCTGGGCACTCCCTGTCCATGGGGAGCTTCCAGATGGAAAAGGCTGCTGTGCCTAGGCAGCTCCAAGGGCACAGAAAGGAGGCTCTGGAGCACTGGATCTGTGCCAGTGCCACAGTCCTGGGCAGCAGCCAGCGAGCACTGGGGAAACAGAGGGCACAGCAAGAGGGACAGAACCAGGCAAGGGCAGAGACTGGAGAGAGCCACGCCTGGGAGCAGGAACAGCTGCTCCATTGCACTCTTGGAGAAAGTTCTTGGCTGGTTCAAAGCGCTGAAAGGCGTGAAGGGCAGAGAGGAGGCCACACCAAACAATGCTCCTGTTTGCACAGCCTCCCCTCTCCATGTCCCAGAAGGAATTGCATGGACTGTGTTCTTCTCTCTGATTTGTCTTGTTCAGCATGAGCAGCTCAGCACCAGGAGCTGAAGGAGCTGAAGCCTCAGGCCACAGGAGCTGGGCAAGAGGGAACTTTTGGAGCCAAGTAATGCTGCTAAAATAGCCCCAGCTCAATGCAATGGATAGAATCATGGAATCACAGAATCCTTTTTGTTGGAAAAGCCCTCTGAGCTCACCCAGTGCAGCCGCTCACCGGGCAGTGCCAAGCCCAGCACTAAACCACGTCCCTGTAGTGCCAAGGCCTGGACACCAGCCCTGAGTGAGGCCTGGACAGCAGGCCCTGAGCCAAAGGTGGCCTCTGGATGAACCTTCCAACCAAACGTTATCTTTGTATCTGCTCCCTAATGAAATGTGCATGATCATTAGCACTGAGATAGATGTAGCCACTCATTAGTGAAACATGTATTGACCTTTGTGTATTTAGAAGCCAGACAAGGCCATGAAATCTGACATCTGGCCTTGTTTGGGGCTGAAGGATCAATGTCACCTCCCTTGGTTCCTCCTCGAGCTCTGGCCAGGCTTTGGGAGGGACCCAAGAGGAGGATGAAAGCAGATGTTGCCACACTAGCAGTGCTGTCAGTTTGTTCATTCAGCACTGTCAGAGCTGGGTCCTCTCCCAGCGGG